ATAAGTTGAGAGTAAAACTTAGGGGCATGTAACAAAGGATGTAAAGAACAAAGTAAAGGAAAACAATGCCAAAGAACAAAATTCCAGCAGACATAACTGTTTGTGTTCATACTAAAGGTTGGATGGATGAGAGAATAGAATGGAGTCAGTGCATCCAAGACAAATTATACTCTTGCCTTTCAACAGGGGATAGTTTAAAAATAAGAGTTAAAGTACAGTACTTCCTTTGACCCTTGGATAAGTTGACTCAGGATTTTGGGGTCAAATTGTTTACCTAAATTTCTAGACTTATGCAGGAGTATATACAGTAAATAGTAATTTTATCATCTCCTCTTCATCTGGGATTTTTGGGGAAGGGGTGGGGGAGTTCATCTTGTCCTGCATGGCAGGCACTCTGTCTTGCTCAGAGCCAAGGCATTTTAGGTTCCATTTCCAATCCTTCAATTGTGGTTTGTCCTAGCATGATACCTCTGCATTTTGTTTCTCTGTCCTTTTGCTTTTGTAAAACAACAACAACTACTGCAACAACCCTCTGTTCTTCCATAGGTACCCCCAAAGGTGTGGATTTCAACAATGTGAAGACGATCCTGTTGTCCATAAGTGGGGTGAAGGCCCTTCACAGTCTCCATATCTGGGCTCTCACAGTGTCTCAGCCTGTGCTGTCAGTCCACATTGCGATCAGTAAGTTACACTTCAGGCTGAGCTGACTTTGGGGAGGAAATTACTATCCTGAATTCTAGACCTGGCACAGAACTTGGAAAAGTTCCTTTTTTGGACTACAACTCTCAGAATTCTCCAGTCAGCATGGCCTTTTAGACAGATGTTCTTTGTGAGCTGCCCTGGGAGTCATTTTGGTTGTAACGTGGGATAAAAATGGAATGAATGAATACGTGTCCAAGGTTTTGTAAAAATTTTGAACTGCAGTATTGGATGATGCCATTTTTATTGTGCATCGTTGTTGTCGTTATCCACCCTTGAGTCGATCTCGATCCTCGATCCTCTGTGGATGAGACATCTCCAAGACACTCTGTCGTCCCTGCAAACTCATTTCTGTGACCTCCTTAATAAGAGTCCATCCATTTTGCATGTGGTCTTCCTCTCTTTCTACTTCTTGTTCTACTTTCTAGTTCCCTCCACCTTTCCTAGCATGATTGATTTCTCCAATGAGTCATGCCTTCTCACGATGTGGCTGAAGTATGACATCCTACATTTTGTCATCTTGGC